GTCTAAAAAAAAAGGTGACATCTCTAAAAATAAAATATTTTTAACTACAAGAAGGCACTCTACCAACTCTTGCTTTTTTGTACAAGCAAACTTCATTTTGGCCCATCTTTTTTTTAACTCTTCTCCCTTCTGAGATTTTCTGTTAACACCTAAGTAGATTCTTTGCAGGTTAAGGTCTGCTGCATGATGAACAGTATTTTTTTCCTTTAAAAAATTTTTTTAAGACAGAGTCTTAAAAAAGACTTACAAGACTTACTTGTCTCTAAGACAAGTCTTCACTATGTCGCCCTAGGTAGAGTGCCGTGGCATCACAGCTCACAGCAACCTAAGATGCTTAGGCTTAAGTGATTCTCTTGCCTCAGCCTCCCAAGTAGCTGGGACTACAGGTGCCTGCCACAACGCCTCACTATTTTTGGGGGGCGGGGTTGTAGTTGTCACTGTTTGGCAGGCTTGGACTGGATTCGAACCTGCCAGCTCTAGTGTACATAGCTGACGCCCTGGCTGCTGAGCTACAGGTGCCGAGCCAGATGAACAACATTTTGATACTAACATTTAATATGTACTTTAGAAATAGCCAGCTTAGCCAGTGTTTCGAACATTTTTTGTTATTTATTGCTCTTTTCCTTTTTATATAGGAGTCCAATAAACGGAAATATTAACAAGGGAGATTTTTTTCCCCATGACTTTACAAAGCTGATTTGACCAAAATTTTGACTAAGTTTCCGCAGAGAAGACAAGAGCTAGGGAGCTGTCGTGCATCTTGCTTAGCACCTTGGCTTCTTTGTGTCTGTAGTTGTTGGATCGTTGAAAAGACGCTTCAAAAAATACAGCTGCAGGATCCCAGAAAGAATAATTACAAGGCTTTGGGCTGTTGACCACCAGTTCACATAGTTATAATTTGACTGGAGAAGAAAAAAGTCAGCCATTTTCCTCATCCGTGCAAAGTTGTAGTAGCGCCACATGTGAAAGATGTTGGTCTGCACCTTTCGTGTACTCTGCTGTGGGAGGGAAAACAGATTTTATTTTCTCCTTCCGCCATGCAGCCTCAACTGCATGCTCACCAGCACTA